CGTTCTCCGGGGCAATGTAAACCTGATGGTATACCACCTACAGGTCAATCTTCGAAAAGAAGCCTCGTCGATACATCATGTATGTACGGTACCGGGTATCTGTCTGTAGTCGTTACCTGGTTCAGTCCTCGCATGGTTGCCCATCTTCCGGCGTTGACTTTGGCACCATGCGAAGTAGAGATGCCCAGGCGCTAGACGAGGGTATGATGATTCCTAGCTCCATTATGTGTTCAAACTCCTGTCGTGTGACCTTAAACGTCTTTGGAAGCGAATGCGGAGGCCGCGTGCGGACAGGTGGGTCGCTGGTGGCGATTTAGTGGCGTACCTCGGGCTTCGCCGCGGCGCTGGCGGGCAGCTACCTCATCAACTAGGAGAAATCCTGCACAATGCGAGTAAAATGTTTTGCACCAGACGGCCCGAGCAGAGTGGAGCCTTCGGAGGGTGTTTTGAGAGATTGCCTTACACAGTTGCTTGCGACACAGGATCGTGAAGGTGGCGGCTGCGCACGTCGATGAAAAGGCCAAAATATCGAAGAAAGTCCGCACCCAAGATGACGAACTTCACTGCTGCCACAATGAAAATCCACCGCAACGCCCTGTTCACGCCAAAGTCGAGTGGCAGCGAGCGATGTCTGTATGTGGCGATTGTTGTGTTGACCACCTGAAGGGGGAACGCAGTGGCAATACGGCGATTGGTGGACACAACCGGCAACACGCTCACCTCTGCGCCGGTGTCCACGAAGAATTGTAAGCCATTGTCGCAGTCGGTGAGTAAAAAAAACAGTGATGGACGACGTTCGGGGGCGTCTAGAACACTGGTCGTCATCAGTGCCAGCGGCTCGCGTTTCCCGCATATTTGCAGGGAGAAATGCATTTGCGAGCAGCATTGCCATGCTTCCTGTGATACTGGTAGACTCTCTAATGTGCTACTTGGTGCCTGTGCTCTTCGCGAGGGCTGCGGGCATGCATCGCTGCGATGGTAAAAGGAAAGGTGGGATATCTGCTCCCAGATGTCATGCAGTGCGGTCGTAGGCACGTCGCCGGCCACGTGCCGGTAGCTCCGCCGCGCGCCGGGACGCGCGGCGGAGCTATCGCCAGCCCCAAGTCCGCGAACTCGGCGGGTTGAGACTGGAGTTTGTTGGAAGCCGAGGCGAGGAACATGCGCACGCTGACCGGAAGTAGCTGTAGGAACAGCTCGGCAAGGAATATGCTGTCGGCATCGATGGTGGTTGCGCCAGCCGTGTGCAACAGCGGCCACATGTGCGGCAACATTTCATTGGGCATCCGGTCACCGAGCTCGGTGTCGTGCAGCAGCTGCTGCAGTCACTGAGGCTCGGACGGCGTGAGGTGGCCGATGAGCAACTGTTTCAGCGTGTACGCGTTCTCTGCACGTGGGGCGACCAGAAGATCACGCATTTTGCTCGCTTTTGCCAGCGGGAGGCTACCAACCACGTGGTGGTGCCTTCTTAAGTCACCGGGAATACACGAGCGGTGAATTGGAGTCCGCATCCAGGGACCATAGCCGCGGGTCCGCTGTCCGAAACGGTGGGAGTCTGATGTCGACAACGGATATTGCCGGTGCGTCAGGAGAAGCTTCATGGCGTCTATCGCTTGAAAAAGGCTGTAAGCCTCGTCCGGATCACCGCCGTATCGACGCGTGTACGTGCAGGAGAATCATACACAACCACGTGACGTGGATCGTAAACATGAACTGGTTTTATTCAATTTCTCTGGAGGTTCCGGAGAGCAGCGGAGGCTGGTGCTGCCTGACTGGCTTGGCTTGGCTGCCGCCACAACGCCATGCCTCCTATCGGTGACGTCTGTCTCACTGAACAAAGGTATTCACCACTTCTGCTTAATCTTGGTCCAAAAAAGCCACAAGGAATCAAGTATATACCTGAGGCATTTTTATAAGGTAGGCTGAATGGAGCACTCAAAGAAAAGATGGAGTAAGTAGGGCGTTTTTTTTTTGTCCCACAGCAATGATAGTCATCTATGTTGCTTTCCGTTTCTTTTCCTATCGCCGCACACCCGTAACTTTCATGTTACGAGCGACAAGAGCGTTATCAGCACGACATAGCTTTATTAATAGGAAAGTGACCCCAACGCTGAGTTTTCAATAAAGAAAATGCAAGCAAGCCGGATTATGATTATTGTTGTGGAACAAAAAGACACTCTTTTGAATCCAATTTTTTCTGTAGAATGAGGGCCGAACGCTTGATCTTTAGACGCTCCCTTTCGCGCACTGAGCTGGCCAGTGGATGTTGCAAATACGCCAAGATCACGCCAGCGCCGAAAACTGATGACCGCACGATTGTATCTTCGTTTATGCCTATCTCCTTGCTATGCATATGTACCAGAATTTCTTGAGTGTTTAATATTCAAATATCTGACAACCTTTTTGAAAGAAATAACGCAATTACTCTGATTCAGCAAGGCAATCACAAAATATATTCTACGGTAACCCAGCTTGACGAGACTTTTTATGACCTGGCGCCAGCGTTTGATATGAATGGTCAAGTAGATGTTATACACTTTAGGATTTCGAAAAAGCGTTCAATCGTGTGATTCAACAGAAATAACTTCTTAGACTGAAAGCAATTTTGAAAAATGACAAATTAATTTCGTGTACAGCAGCTTAACTGTCATTCAGAAGCCACTGTTGAAGGTTTAAGTTCGACTGCCGTCCTCATGAAATAAAAGGTCCATTTTGAGGCCGTTGTTTTCCCGGTAATTTATTAAAGATATTGCAGTGATCTTCCCTTTAAAAATAGAACTTTTTGTAAAAGATTGCATATTATATCAAGAATTTCTTGTTACAAAAATATCTTGTGTTTTACGTCCCAAAACCACAATATGAGTTTGAGAGACGCCGTAGGGGAGGGCTCCAGAAATTTGGCTATCCGATGTTCTTTAACATGCACTGGTCTCAATCATTTCACCTCCACTGAAATGCACGGCCGGAATCCGAAGCGCGACCGTCAGCAGCAGAGCACCGTGCTCACCCATTCACAGCGGCGGACGAAATTGAAAGTTACTGCTGATTAAGAATACTTAAAGACGGCATTATCAACACTCAAACAAGGTGTACAATATGGCAGATAATAAATAATTATAAGAAAACAACAGTCGCAAAGAGCGCGTAACAAACACTCGCTTTTGTTTATTCATCAAATCGATGGTCATTGCAGACAAATATGAAGGACTCACATCTGATGTAAAACGGAATGAACACGGTGAGCATATTGAAAAATGGGCCATGAAAAAGCTTGGTCACTAGCGAAGGTGGCATGTAAAGTCACACCGCACATCACACTTATCGCATAAAAAGTTTTTATACTAGAACAATATTGAATGCACAGCTGCTGTGCGGGATCTCTTAACTTAAAAAAGCAAAAAATGGTCCAAGTAAAATCTCTTTGATTTTTGTTAAGTTTTCATTCTTGGTGCGCACCATCTTCACTTTTTTTTTCATTAAAACCAAAGCTCAAAAAACAACAAAAAAGAAGAAGGACGGGGAAGCTACGCTTTTCACCTCACTTTTCATGGCAAAACAGGAATGAGCAAAACAGAGCAGAATAAACAAACATGTGAATGTGCTCTGCCATCATGTCATTCAAAGAAAGTTGTAGATTTCGTAAACTGCGCAGATACGTTCAAGAGTATTTTTAGTTCTAGAACCTCCCGTGAATGGAATAGCCGAACAGACAATATTTGTAGCATAAACGGTTGGCTTAGGTTTAAATGCCCTGAACAATCAATAACAAATTGCGCTATTACTTATTTTATATTCATGCATTGTCCAGAGTTACGCATTGCTTCTCTTTGCGTACGTTGCGTTTCAGTGAACAAGGTTATAATATTCATTGTATTGCTTTTGTTTGGTTTTATTGTTGCAAAATGTTGTAATGTATGCTTTTTGCAATGTTTTTTGTGTTGTTTTTTGCAAATATTACCGATGTCGTTATGTCTGTGTGATACTATTTGTGTGGCATGTGCAGGGAAAATTTCTGTATGACCATTGCTTAGACCTGGTAAACAGGTCAGCAGTACGTAATAGATAATAATAAATAATAATATTACCACTCTAACACGAGTGTTGTGCGAGTTACGGTGTGTGGATTTTAAGAAAATAGCGGATGATGCGAGGTTCCCAAAACTTTCTCGTAGCTACGCAAGTCAAATTAATCGCTGAAAAATTTTGCTGAACAGGCAAATGTACACCAAGAGTGAACCTAAGCGCCTTTTGTCTTTCGCATGCTGCTAACATCAACGTACGTGCTAGTACTCGAAAGCACGTAAGCATTATGCGTGCCCATCAGTTCTAAGATCAGCCAAACTTTTCCGCGTTTGTTGAGCCGAAACATAAGAGTGACTGTGTTCGGGCAGTATAACTATGCATTAAAGATATAAATGAAGTAAGTGGTGTTGTGTAGGGGACAGACGCTGTACCATCCTGTGGAGGGGATAACTGCTTATGGATGAAACACATGTAGCGTATGAAACGCAAAAATGACCTTGAACGAGCTCAAGGAACGTTGTTGAGTAAGATACCCGGCAATCCACGGGACTGTAATATTCTAGCTGGGATGCGCACGCGGCAGTTTACCTGACCACGTAGTCAATGGCAGCAAGATGGACATGCGTGTGGCTTTTTCTTTATCCTTTTTGAATCTGCCCTTTTCGTATGCATACTATTTTTTGGAGCGCTGAAAATATTATCATGTCGTATTGGGAAATTAAGCAACTCAGAAAGGATTCCTGCTTGTAACACTTTACATGAAAAGGAAAAAAAATAAAGTTTTTCACTGCTACCATACCGAAACGTACGAGTCGTAATTCTTTCAGTACAAACACAGAAATGCAGAGATAGAGCTTTTGGGACTCTTCTCACCCACAATAACAGTAGAAAAGCGAAGCCCAGCTACTCATCCCGGTGGGGGTAGAACAAAAGAGAAGGCACAATATGAACGCTATATAAGTTAAGAGTTGATCACTTACTGCCAATTATAGTCGTGCAGTATTTCTGGCGGTAGCTGCGTTTCTTGACCGCCTGTTCCGGCTTGGGACCATATGCCAACAGCCGCCATGACATTGGCCGCATTAGTTCTTACAGGAAGGCATGTACTACACTTGACTGCCGGACATCGCGCACATCACCAATATCATCACTGAGATCACTACCATCACCGTTGCGAACAAGAACCAGGTCACAAACGTGGCAGTGCCTTCGGCGCATCTTGCTCAGAATATCCGAGACGCTGGAAGGCAGATGCGTTGAAATCAAAGTGGTGGTCATTTTCTGTCGCAAAAAAACGGGCATGCGTAGCATCGCTTATCTCTGAGAGGGACCAGAGACGACTTCTGAGCTGTCTTGGATGCTTCTAGACCCATGATCACTCCTCGGACGCAGCGGCCCACAGTTGCGCGCACCGCTTGATGGTCGCGAAAATTCGCCTTTAGCGTGCCTGTCACACGTGATATGAAAGGTCCCTCCCAACCTCCACTTCAGTGGAGCGCTGCTACGGCGCGGTGGATGGCTTGCACAAACGGTCTCTCACGTCTCCCGCATGCCTACTGTGCTTGTTTTCCCGCATGCTAAGGGCGCTTAAGTTTTCGCAGCGGCTCACGATAAACTGGTCCGCGACAGCCTGCTGCCGCCACGGTGCAAAATAAAGTGTTCGAACGCTGAGTGAAGTCAGGGGGTCGCGCAGGGGGCTCGTGGCCTCATTCCAAGAGAGATGTGCTCAGCTGTGCGGTATATCAGAATCGGATCTTCAGAGCAGGGGCCCCTTCTCCACAACTGAGACGGCAGTACGCTTTTAGACATGCTTTCCCCGCAGACAGGCGCGTCCCAATTTGTGCAGATCAATGCTGTCTCAGCGCGAGAACGCAAGTACTGACGTGAGACCACATTATGCATTGCTGACAAATCGGGCCTTTTGTTGTGTTCAGCACCACTCCATCAAAATTGAAACCGGACGTGGTGGCTGCTCATAGCACATCCGACTCTCCGAACTCATCATCACGTGCTTATGCCCTCTATCGACGCAGAGCGAGGAAAATCGCGGCTACCTCGCGACATTACAAGCACGCTTCGCAAAGCAAGAGCTGAGCGACGTTAGGACAGATTGCAGCATCGGCAAATGAAGCCGGGTCTTAAACGCTGGACGTAGCAGAGAGGTTCACTCCGCGGCCGGAGTAACATGACACAAGAGGCGACTGTAAAGCGCGTCGTACTGAAAAGTGCAGGTACTGTTGTCGGGACGGGAAGAACGTAGACGATTTGACAAGCCAAGAGGAGAAGTCTTTGGCACAAACGCTGTTGTAAAGAGTTCCTTTATCGAGTCGGAGGTCGGGCTGTCGGTGACTAACGCAGCCGGTGCAGGCACGGACACGTTGAAAATAATCAGGCGCGTTCGGCGGCACAGCTGTCTTCCTGGAGGCGTGCTATTCAAGATGGCAGGTTGGCCGGCGCGTGGCAGAGAGCGCTGCGGGGAAGCCCGCTGGCCGGCGGCCGACGCGCGAGCCACTGGGCCCGCCCGCGCGGTCGCAGACTGCAGCCATCGCGAGCATTCGTGACGTCACCAGAAGCTGCGCTGTGCGTGCGACAGATGGCGCTGGATCGCACGTGCTGCTCGTCGCGCTAGTGGCTCGAATAGATGCGCCTCTCGACTCGCATTCTACGTGCATTGGCAGCTCACCCGTGAAAAGAAAGGCCACTCCTCCACAGCAGTGTTCGTATTACCTGTCCCTGAGTCATACACATTGCGAAATGACGCATAATTTTCAAGTCTCTCAAGTTTTAAACCAAAGGAACGCGGATAAAAGAAAGTTCAGCTGTGTTCTGAAGCACTGGAAGTTTGTGCTTCTGCAAATGTAAACTCACGAACTTTGCACTGTCCATCACGCGATCCGCTTCAAGAGAAGGAAAGCCTCGCTGCAGTCAAGTGCACCTAAATATTCTCTAGCTGTGGGTGTTATTCTTTTTGGGAGGCGGTCTTTTTTCCACAGCATTGTTGCATGTATTTGGAATTATTCATGAACAAAAGGCTCTTTTGAAACGTCACATGAATAAAGTTCAATGAGACAGCGCAGATCCTGAAAATGTTTCATGTTAAAATTTGTTACGAATGTATTCGGTATACTAAGCTCAAGACGAGCACTGATTATATCTACTTAATGATATCTAAGTACTACGCATGACTGGCCAGTATTGGAGCAGAACTGCGTGCGTGCTGTATGTCGCGCTGCCCGTTTTTGTTATGAAGGAACAAAGACAAGGATCAATGGCTTTTATATTTGTTAGACACAACTTGATGAACAATGACGCCCGAAAAAAGGATCAGGAAGCATGAATTACAGTCATTAAAGGTAGTGTAGTAAGTACAGCGAGGATGCAGATGAATCAAAAAAGACGAAACTTGACGCTACTGGGTACCCAACCCGGAGACTTGAAGTAGCGGGCTCGTTACGTCTTTTCGCGGTTAAATGAGAGTATGCGTCCTTTACAATTTATCCAAATACGCCTTTCAAAAAGAGGTGCATGCCAATCACAGTTGCGGCAGCTCTGGCGCGTGTCGTTGCTGTGGTCTCTTCGCCACATGGGCTTTCTCTTTGCGCCAGCAGATGTCTCAAAAGACCTTTCCTTCGAGGCACGCCTGTGCTTCAGTTGTCCTTCAACGATGTCAAACAATAAGAGCATCGCATTCATCTTTCTCTCCAGAGCGCAGGACATCGATTTGAGAGCTGGCGTACCTCCTCCTCTTTTCCATTACCCTCCCCCATTAGCAATTGATGCGTTCTCCTGGAAATGTTTGTCAAGTGTTCTCTTAGATTCCTAAACTGTGTTCTTTTAACAAAGGTTGGTATGAACTTCTATTGAGTAACAGCAACAGCGAATATGTTGTCGAGGAATTATTTTTCTGAACTACATTTACATGATGTACTGTTTGCTGCTGCCAATACATAGCCGAATGGTTAGAGGCCCCCTGAGCCCCTCTCGTTCCTTCGAAGCGTCTGGTGCTCTCTCTTGGCCTAGGGTGCAACTGAAAACGATCTTTACATTAGCCACACCCTTCGGTGGCATACAAGGTTCGCCCCTGTTTGCCAGACGGTGGTGAAGAAACCAAAACATGTCGAAACAAAACTATGTTCCCACACCACTCCCCTCCTCGTAAACGAAGGGACCAGCCTATTACGCAGTCGCGTCGGTACTAGAAGTGAGTGCGGATAGTCACCTATGTCCCGATTCGCAAAGGTTGACGTACAGTTTTTTCAGATTGAGAGGTGCAAGGATGGATGATTCTTGAACGCGGCTCACTGGCAGTTTCGTTCAGTGGTTGCTCCATGTGCACTGGTTTCAGTCAGCCCACGGAGACGACTTCCGATCGTCCACGAATTTCAATAGTGAAAGTTTTTGGGCTGCTACGAATCACTTTAAATGGTTGGTCGCATGGTGACTGAAGTGGTTTTCTCACCGCGTCACCGCGCAGGAACACGTGGATGCATTGATATAAAACTTTAGACATGTACACAAGGGTAGCCTGCTATGCGAGAGTTCGTGTGAGATGAAGGCAGACCATCGTTGTTGAAGAGAATCGCGCAAGACTTCATCTTTGCTTGTTCCCACAAACTGACCGGGTAGGCGAAAAGCAACTCAGCGCTCGTGCACTTTAAGTAACTTTTGAGGGTTGTTCGCGTGCCGAGGGGTCCCAGTGGGAGTACTTCGATCTATTGGGAACGTTCACCGTACGCCGTTATGCAGTTTGCGCACTCGCTCCACTGCAGTCTGTTTGTTGCAGGATAATAAAATTATAAAGCTTTAGCGCAGCTCCGTTTGAGCGTGAAAAAAGATTCTATAGCAGAATGTGACGTTGGGAGAGTTAGTGCATAGCTTAATAAAATATTTGTGGCACAAATGATACCTGTACTCTTCTTTTTTTATAGCTTGTATCAGTTGTGCCTTAGATAATTTAAAATGTTGCTATATAGACAAGAATGGGAAAGAAACAGACGACAGAGTGAGCGCTGTCGCTCACTTGCTGGATAGTAAGCTGTTGTTCGCGTACGATGTGTGCCGACGATCGCAAGAAGTTTCCATGAAGAGGGAAGACTCAAGTTAGCGTCCAAGATCAGTTGTGATGATGGATGGTATTCCTAAGTGTGCAATTCATGCCTACAGAAATGCTTTTGCGACAGCCTCGGCAGACTTATCCCGCATAGGAATGGCTTTTGGCCAGTGAGTAATCGGTCTGCACAGGTGAAAATGCAGCAGCGATTTCGGGAAGGTGGCAAAGGACCATATATGTCTACATGAACTTCTCTGAACCGAGCGTAGGAAGAGAGAAACGTTGACCGCTGAGTGACCGTGTGGCGCTGTATTGTCGACCGTTGACACTGAGTGCACGTACACGACCAATCTCTAATATCTTTGTTTATTTCCGGCCACAGGTATCTTGTGGTCACATGTGCTCGTGGTGCACGGATTGCCGGGTGCGAAAGTAAGTGCACAGAGTCAAAGACAGAGCGGCGAAAACGATTTTGGTACAAGAGAGGAGAGAAAAAAAAGGAAGGCCGGGAAGTTAATTAGATATTCGCATCGAGTTTGCTACCCAGCACTGGAGGTGAAGAAATAGGGGCAAGATAAAGAGAGTAGAGAGAGAGGAAGAAAAGAAAGCGCACGTGCACTCCTGAGAAAACAAAAACGCACACAGAAAGGGCGTTCTGGCTGCAACCATTCAGCAAGGCCAGTCGATCGCAAAAAGCGCAGTAGCGCTTCAAGGCCTTCTTCTTTGATGTTGCATCCTGTCAATATTGTAAAATTATTTCCTCCGACAAAGGTTCATTATCTAATTTGCTGAGTTCCTTGCGACAGCACAGTCACAAAGGACATGTCAGATGGTTTCTTCGTTTCCACAGTGGTCAAAGGCTGTGGTGTCGGCCATCCCAACGCGGAAAGCGTAGGCGTTGGTAAACGCAACGCCCAACTACAGCCTACTTAAAAGAGTATCTTCTGCTCGGAAAAGCCTCGACGGGACTTGAAGACTTAACGTAGGATCAGCGAGTACAGTCAGGCATGCTTGAAGTGTGGCTGATTCTATAGTGACGTGGTTTGCTGGCGAGCAAGCCAGCGGAGCTTTCGTGCAGCACCTGTCCTAGAAAGTGGTATTAGCAAATCATGGTCTTCTGCGTGGGCTGAGCGGGCGGCTTGATTGGTCCGTTCATTGCCGATAATTTCACAGTGACTGAGTAACCGCTGAAATGAAAATTGGTGACAAAATGTAACGCGGTAAAAAGGGCTGCCAATTCCACTGCCATTATAGTTGTTATGTGGGATGTCTTGAATTTATTCTTCATGATCAGCCTTGGTATCAAGAGTGCTCCAGTTGTGCTGTTCGGCTCAACCAATCCGTCAGTGTATATATGTTTTTCATACAAGAGAAGTAGTGGAAGCTGCTTCGGAGCCGGTGACGACCAATCGGCTTTTTTTCTGGACGCCAGTTATGGTAATATTAATAATTGATTGAGCGAGGCCCCATAGTGGAATCACAATTTTAGTG